TTAACTAATTTGAGCTTATTTATCCTTATGAAACTTGGCTCTGAATTGTCTATACCATGCTGTGTTTCCTATTTTGTTTCCAACTCTGCGGCGAGCCTCCAAAGGCTCGCTAGAGGCATTCGTCGACTCTTTCAAGAGTCAAGCCTCTTGGGATAAGGTAAGGTATTGTTTTAGACATGTTCTGAACAATGTCGTAGTGCAAACTACATCCTCCATAGAGATGTCAATATCGGCGCACTTAACAACCATTTGCTCTAACCATTGAGCTATTAGAGACCTTTCTATTGTCGTATTTTTTTTATGGTCTTTTGAAAATCTATCATATTTTGTTAAAAAACCTCGTGTCTTTTTACTTGAGTAGTCTTATGCATGGTAAGTACTATAGCTCCAATCATGGCTATTATTAAAATAAGACTTCATCAGATGCTACAAGGTGTTTGTAATTATTATAGTTCTGTACACAATCGTACCAAGCTGCATTGTATTCAATGTATCATGCAATAGTCCGCCCTGGCCACACTAGGTCGAAAACTCAAATTGAATAGTGATGCTAAGGTTTTCAAACGTTTCTCTTTTCCACTTTCCATTACCCGTGGGACTCTACCCTATCAAAGGATCGAATTAGTTAAATGCAAGTCAACTTTGGAGACTTCCATTACTCCACAGGCTTTTTTGAAATCTTCGCCAACGCGGCCTGTGTTTTACATATGATTTCTTTTGTTAACAGGAGAATTATACTGGTCTTGTAAAACAAAGACCCTTAATACAGACGATCCTAAGTGCAACGAAGTTGTCGCTACCAAGAAATTTTAAGAACGCCTTGAACTTTTTTGTCCGTGTGCCGGCACGAAGTGTGGCGTCAAACATGAAAATGGAAGGGGAACGCAAGCATCAACAAATGTAAAGCAAAGAAGCAGCTCTGCTCGGGCCCTTGCCTTGAGCAGGGGCCATTTTTTGGATCACAGTGGGGGGTAGCATGGCTTTCAATCTTCCGTGTGCCGGCACGAAGTGTGGCGTCAAACATGAAAATGGAAGGGGAACGGCAAGCATCAACAAATGTAAAGCAAAGAAGCAGCTCTGCTCGGGCCCTTGCCTTAAGCAGGGGCCATTTTTTGGATCACAGTGGGGGGTAGCATGGCTTTCAATCTTTTAGGCTCCTCTAGCCCGGAGATGCCCAACGATCTCAGATGCTCAAGGGGATCCAAGCCTTGATTATCAATTCCCTCTGCGATTCAAGAAAGACCCAGCTGCTGAAACATTGCCACATTCAATGCTGTGGCCGCATCAACTCACCGTGGTTCCCCTATTATCCCACCCAGTCACATCTCCTCACCTGTCTCGGTTAGTTTTCACCTATACTGTCTTTATTCGATCCTATTGATGGTCACACCACTCATTATCACTCTTGCAAATCGCTTCTTAGTGCTTGTGATTTGGCCCCCCCATCCTTACTATTATCGACTTACCCCACTGTCCTGCCTATATTGTTATTTGGGGCCACGTTGAATATTACCTCCCCATCACGACTTTTCCTGGTGCCCCTTACGGCTTTTTCTGCGTTTCACTACACAAGTACTTCGAGAAGCAGCCATTTGATTTCTAAGAACGGTGATAGAGTTCACGCATTGAGATCCACTGTGTCTGGGCTATAAAGAAGTTTGTTCACTTCAATCAGAAAAATTAAATAATGACGAGCTAAACGCTGAGCCGTTGAGGCGCTGAAGTGTAGAGGAGAGAGAAGCAGTCCTGCATTCAGGAGTGTAACACAGTGGCTGTCGTGGAATTTTCTCGTTTCTTCGTCTAAGCAGGTCCTTATGGCACTGGGTCCAAGTCCATTCTGGTGAGCACCAGTCTCATTACTTGTCCACCTGTAATTAGTTATAGATCCGTACAACTGGGCCTAAGGCTGCCCTCCGTGCAAGCACGGATTCGACCTGGCAACCTCGGCCTCAATAGGCAAGTCTCTTAACCACTACAGGCAGGTCACGCACATGGTTCTTTCCGTTAAGGCTGAAGGAGCCCTGATCTTCAGTGATTGCCCTGCGAGGGGGAAGGATTGACTCACTGTCAGACAGCTCGCCTTCCTTCCTTGCTTCCTGAGTCTCTGCTGAGCTGAGATTGTCAGATGTACTTGACAACTGAGAACCGTGGAATAAATCAAGGCTTCACTCGAGAGCTGGGATGTTGTTGCTGTCTAGCCCCTAACGAACTCTACTATCTTCGTGGGAGCTCATATTGAGCCCACAGCGGTGGTCCTCTGGAATTGCCTGCCACACAACTTTGGCATATGCGGTCTCCTCCATGTCATGCTATCGTCATCCGTCATCGCACGTTTGCTTCGTATTGAGCCCACAGCCGTGGTCCTCTGTGAACCGGGAAATTGACAGCCCCTCAAGTCATCCCCGAACCATATTGCTTCAGTACATTGCTTTGTTCATCAGAGCACATCACACAGGTCTTGAAGCCGTTGGGAGCAAGGCTTGTGCCTATCAGTAGCTAAAGGTTCAGGTCGTCAGCTGCCTTCATCAAAACGCTGAGGTTGCAGTTTTGGATTTTTTGACAAAAAATCTGAAAAACATCAGGGGCATAGATTGAGCGCCAATCTTTCCTGGGGGGGAAATCTTAAAAAAAAAGGAAAAAAAAAAAACCGGCATGGCAATGGTAATTCTCGTGGGAGAAGGCCAAACGTTTTTGTTCCATGCTGCTGCCAGCAGGCCCTCATCTTTTAGGGTTGGTAGGCCAATCTCGGAAAAAGTTGACGGTTTGTTCAAATAGCATCGCAGGCATTCGTGGTTTCATCAAAGACTACCATCTTTCCCGGAAGATGAGCACCCTTAGAATGACTGCGTACAAGCGATCTTTTGGTCCCTGTGCAGCCAAATGTGTTGTGTTCGGGGGAAGAAGACGGTAGGTGCATCAATACTAAAAACGTAGGGTGAAGGTTGAGCAGTAGCTCTACCACCATGTGGTGCATCAAGCAATTGTGGTCTTAGTGGTTATCATGTTATGGCAGGTTCCATAATCACCTTCTGACATGATATGGATGTCCTTTCTCCTTGCCACACTCTGGGCAGCTGCGTTCGTCGATAGTAATAAGAAGATCCACTATCAACTGACAGTGTTCACCATCTCAATGATCACTGATGACAACATGGTCTCTTTGATGACGTTCTTGGAGTCGATGGTTCGAGCACACCCAAGGTTGACTGTCGTGTACACATCTCACGAAGGATTCAGTGTGTGCAGATCTCAAAATGATGTTCACATTTAAGTACCTGACTCCGTGGAAATTGCTATTGTGTGGGGTACTTTACGCAAATTGCTCTTGTGTGGGGTACTTGAATGCGAACTTGCCAGCTTGCATTCTGCGAATAACTCTGAGCTCTCAATTTGAATGGGGGTGTTATAAATTTTCAGAATGCTTCTGGATGCGTGAGCTTGCTCTTTAATTTTTTCAAGTTCTGGATATCATGTGCTCCTGCATTTCTTTCTCTTTCCCCCACTTTTTCTTCTTTCTTCTTTCTTCTCTTTTTTTTTTTTCAAAAAGAAGGGTGACGCCCTTGAGATATCATCATCATTGAACTGACCGGCCCTATGTTATGTTGTTAATCTGAATACGGCGCGGCGCAGAGTGCATGCGCATCCTGTGCACGTGATGCGGCGCATCAAAAAAAAAATTAAAAAAAAAATGAAAGTTCAGAGTGGGGTGGCCAAACACTCCCCTCACTTCTAAAAATCAGAAAGCAAGAGGGAGAAAAGTCAGGGCCACTCCATACCCCAAAACTGTGGGCACTTGTCTATGCTTGCGAGTATTCATGTCCTAATTGTGTCCAGCCTCTTTTCCGAAGGGCCCTTACAGTGAATTAGCTAGGACCCAACGTCCAGCAGAGGTGAACTTCAAACTTCCACTTGCCAGCGTGAGCAGAGAATATATAGTCTGGATTCGAATTCAGGTCTGTGCATCTCGGTTATGGGTCACTACTCTTTTTTCTCGTTTTCTTTTCTTAGCAGTACATGCAGTGGCCCTAAGGGCCTCTGCTCACCACATGCACAAAAGACAACATATGGGGGTGTGTTATTCCACGTTCTGCAGAAGGCTCATTCTAATTTTGCACATTCCGTGAGTAGTGCAGCCAAGCCCTGAGAATCACATGCAGAGACCAACACGGCCTAGCTACGTGAGCAACCCTTAACTGCTTAAATAGAGACCTGAATTTGAATCCTGAGTATATATTCGGCCAGCACGTGCTCTACTTCATACTCACTGCCTGCCTCGGTTTTGGTGGAGGGTCTGCACTTTATTGCTGCGAGTACTCTCCAGATTGCCTGCATGGGTTTTGAGCCGTGCTTAGGGGATCCGCTGCTCTCTCTCTCTCTCTATCTATCTATCTATCTATCTATCTCTCTCAGAGAGACAGCATCATAATTTGCGCATGGCGCATGCGCACCGCAAGTATGATCTGGATTCAAAATTTGGTCTGTTTTTCAGAAGTATATTATTTTGTTAATCTGACTGCATCTGGATTGAAGTTGGGTCTATATTTCAACATTACATGGGTGTACGAAATGAGCTACCTTCTTCCCCCGAATACAATGTACGGTCATTATAGCTGTATTTGAGGCATGTTTCAGTCTAGATACAGCTATAATGATCGTACATTGTATTCAGGGGAAGAAGGTAGGCCTGTTGGTGAAGTCACTTCTTTGTTTATATGAATGTATGCGCCGTCTGGTCGCTGGCTCTTCTGCCAGATATTTTCTTTCTTTCTCTTTTGCATGCGGTCTCGTTTATAAAGGCATATGGTTTTATGGGTTGTTGTTATGAGTTTGTTCATGAAGGCATGTTTTTATGGGCCAGCTGATGGCCCTACTCCTGTGAGGAGAGAGAGAGAGGTTATGCAAGGTATATGGTGCTAAAGAGGAGAAATTTTGCATGCGCAAAGAATCTGAAGATTGATCAGTATGCTATATTCCTGGCGTGTGTGTTCTGGTGATGGCAGGCTGATATTTGTGACACATTGCAGTTAGATGCCGTCTTCAGGAAATACAAGTATGTATCGACTCAGGCCTCTATGCATCTTCTCAAGCCTTGAAACGTTCGAGGCTTGTACGTGGGTCTGATGGTCCATATTCTATGTAACCTTGATGATCAGTCTTGAAATGTAAAACCATTATTGTGCAGTGACATTTCCATCTCAGGGGTCTGTTTTCAATATCACTGTGCGTTTCAGTTGGTGGACCTCTAATGATTCGGACTCTTTTGCACTCTTTTCGGAGCTTGAAGCTTCATAAGGTTTTTAAGGATCAGGTTGCGTTCAACTAGGTCTAGGTATGTGTAAGGATCAATTTGGACTGGCCTAGTCAAGGTGTGCCTTCACAACACTCTATCCTGATTCAACTCACCAATTATCAGTACATGTCGACTACACAGTTTCTAGACAGAAACCTGGGCATAGTTTGAAAGGGTCTGATTGGACACTTGAATCTTGTAGTCGACTACAGAATACGTTCTTTACAGAAACCCAGTCGTGGTCCAAAAAAAGGATCTGGTTGTAGTACCGTTGTTCTGTCGCCACCATCGATTAGAGAACACTTCCAGCTTCGCGAAGCATGAGAACAGAGGGAAATAACTACCGTAGTAACTACCGTAGTTACCTTTCTTTTTCTGGATGGGTCAGATCGATCTGCCTGGGTACCAGCAGGCTGATAGCAGCTTCACGTGCAAGAATTGGCTGCTGTAAAAAGCCTGTAATAGAATAAAATTATTAAATAATAAAGTGCTAAGTAATGCGAACGGTTCTTAATCCCTGGAACCTGCAGTTAAGAAGAAACTGTACAATTGCAAGGTCTGAAAATTTTAGCTCTAGCCACCCCAATGACCCATGTCTGCACCTCTGTCGGACCCGATTGAGGAAAACTGTGAAGTAGTGCTCAAAGCAGCTCAAGTAACATGCCTGGTGATACAGAGTTATGGTTATGTGCAGCGGCCTGTCTGTCTCAGGGTATGCAATGGCAGAATTGGAAGAAGGAGATATCTCAGCACAATTAAATGATTACGAAGAATTAAAGAGACTTCGCATCCAAATTTAAAATGACAGAAACCCAAGTGTAATAGTATGGATTTGTTGTATGGTCTTGTTGCTTACAACTAACTGGTCAGTGACTGATGATATTCTTGTCTTTGGCAGGACGAGTGCGGTCGTCCATTTTGCCGGTCTCAAGGCCGTGGGAGAGAGTGTTGCTGAGCCTCTGAAATATTATAAAAATAATGTTGCAGGGACTCTCAACCTCCTTGAGTGCATGAAAAAGTACGATTGCAAGAAGGTATGGAGATGGTGCCTTCCAAGGGGAATCTCTCTCTCTCTCTCTCTCTCTCTCTCTCTCTCTTACATGTGCCATGAACAAACACACAACACCATTCTCGATAGGGGTTTGGCGACCGACGGTCTGCTGGGATTGAAGGTCTGGTGTGACCATTTTTCTCAGGGGTATTGCTAACTATGAGCGATGTTGTGATTCCTTACCCGTCAGGTAATTGTATCGTGGGCAGACTGTCGGGGTGCAGCCTCCTGACGAGTTGCTGAGAGTCCGACAAAACAGTCTGGCACAGTCATGCTTTTTTGTGTGGAGTTTTGTATAGTGAATATGACAAAACACAAAATCAAACACATACGCATTTTTCTTCTCTTTCCCATATCTTTCTCTCTCCCTGTCATAAACACACGTGTGTGGAAGCATGAACTCTCTCTCTCTCTCTCTCTCTCTCTCTCTCTCTCTCTCTCTCTCTCTCTCTCTCTCTCTCTCTCACACACACACACACACACACACACNCACACACACACACACACACACACACACACAGCTGGTCTGAAACGTAGAGTGCCAGTGGGTGGAGAAAAATGTCAGTGGATGCAGGAGAACGTGGAGTGCTAGTGGAAACAACACGAGACGGTGCTGGGTGGAGAACTCGGTAGTACACTTCAAAGTGGCTTTGTGTTCCATTATGCTTTTGTTATGTTAATCGGGTTAAACATGTTTTTTACCATCAGTGTAGGCAGGAAACCAACATATGTTTGTGTAGGATCACCGGAGAGTATATGTGAAACAGCTTCAGTCAGGCGGTTAGTATAGTCGCCTTGAAACACGCTATGGAAGGGATTGCAGCCTGCCTGTTATGCACAGGTGTTCTATAGGTGTTCTGAGATGTGTTGAAGGGAAAGGGGGGATAAGGTGTAATGTCACCAATGTACGAGGAAATGTGTCAAGCCCACGTTTCCACTAACCTCTATGCAGAACCAGATCATGAATTGAAAGTTGCCGACCCATATTCTCGAACGATGGAAATTATACAGAACCAGATTTGTGGGCCACCAGAGTTGTAATTCAATTGTCATGACGTTGAATATTTGGAATTGTTGATTACAACGAGCGAGTAGGATCCTCAGAGGCTATATGCCCAGCAACGATTCTATCTCTCTGGTTGAAGATATATTCCGATGCCATTAGGAAACTAGTGGTTGAATTGACCCGAGCTTATTTCACCGCAGCAACCATAAGGTACAAGACTCGATGGCCGATCCTGATCCACGGTTATGGCCAGCAAATGTGGCTGTCTGCATTTGTCGTGGCTGGGGCCGAGTTGCTCTGCTTTTTTAACAGACTGACATAACTATGATCAATGTTGTGACTGGCAGTGGCGAAGGACGAAGCGAAGTCGTTCTCTCTTACGTATTACCAAGTAATGCAGGTGTATTGCACTAGGTGTATTTTGATTGCACACGCGATGGCACTGCTGTATGTGATGGGGAGGGTACCAATAGGCTTCGACTTCAATCACTCTTGTCAGCAGATTATGAAAGCACCACTGCCTCCAAAGCCTCCTCAGAATAGCTGACCATCAAGACGCAAGGTCGATAGTCTAGGTTTGTCGAACGTCTTTAGCCTGCCGACTGGATTCCTATTGGTTTTGTACCACCGGCTGCAGGTGTAGGTGGTCCAGTGGGTTGAACTGGTTGATGGTGTGATGTTGGGGAGGCGCGAGGGTACTGGTCATTGACTCCTAGGGTTTTGCTGGCCTCAGTCAGTGGCTGTGGAAGCCCAAGCAGTGGGTGGCTTGTGGACTGTTGTAATCACTGCGACTGTGTGACAGCTCAGGAGGCTGTGAAAACCATTGACTGCGCCTTTCCTACAGTCTTTGTGGGGAGTGGGTTCTGGGGTTGAGGATGGCATTGTGGGGCGGGTTCGGGCAAGATGGAAAGGTGCTGATGATTATGATGATGATCCATGTGGAGGTGCGACGTTATCGAGTGAGGGAGGAGAGCAGAAGAGTCATGGCACCTGGATCAAGAATCAAGAGGAAAACGACGTAGTGGCACAATAGTTGGGAGGGAGAAAGCAAGGGGTATGGGGCAGGCAGGGGTTCTGAACACATCAAGTGGCGGCTATTTGACGAGGGAGGAGGGAGGAAGACAGTACAATGAGAACAGAGGAAAATGAATGAAAATAAAGAAGGGATGGTGTGGAGGAAGGAAGGTAACGATTCCCAGGTTGCTATGTGGGAGCAGATCGGAGGGCTCTGGGACGGGGGTCCAGAGGGGCAACAGATTGGATGACCCTATAAAAATGAGGAAAATGTTTGAGAATCTAGGCTACCTGCCCCGCCCAGCCAGGCATACCTGAGACATTACTTTTTTTTTTTTTTTTTTTTTTTTTAATTTGGACCATTTCTCGATTTATGTGTGTCATCCTTGCGCAGGGGCCATGCTAATCTTCTCTGTATCGTTCCAATTTTAACGGATGTCCCGAAGGACAACATTACTTTGTATTGCTATTTCATTATTTATATTTCGTGTCGACGGATTTGCTTTTTCTGAGTTTTCACTGGCGCTACCAAGGACCCTACCTGATTGTGCCCTGCAGGGACTGTCTGCGTGTGTCCTTAGGCACCCACAGCCAGCCTGAGCTGCCCAGCTGGCAGCACGGATAAGAAGAGGAAAAGAAGGTGGGCCTCAAGCACAGGGATTTCTCAGTGCATGATGTGGTGGCATGTTTGGCGCCTCATGGAAGTCACTGGTGGGAACAAAGGAGGGGGGCCAGGATTCTTGTTGCCCCATGTGGCATTGCATTTCAGTTCCGAATGAAGACCATGACAATGACATTGAAATCCTCAGTTCATGATGTGCATTCAACAAGCGGACACTGATAAAACAAAAGCAGACTTAAGAGGGACAGGACTCCAAGCGCATCGTGTGGTAGCATGTTTTACAGCCAGGAGCTCAGGAATAAGCAGATGAGGACAAAGCAGGTGCCGGGGAGGGGGCGGAAAAGAAAGCTTCTGCGATAGCCAGCTGGTTGCTGACTGGCCCTGCTGATGGGTCAGCCAGGCAGTATGTTGGGCCCAAGCAGTTTGAAGCTTTGCGGAACTAAATGGTCGATTTCTGGGCAAGCCAAAAAGTCTATCTGGCTTGGAAGCTGTGGGGCGTAGGACCAGTTTGGGGTATATAATGGACGGATGATTTGGACACTAACAGTAAGCCCTACACCCTGAATAATTTTAATTCAATAGAGTGGAAATAGGCCCAGAACATGCAGTAGAGTTGTGAGGGCAAATGTCTGCTGATTGAAGAAATCCAAATTGACAAAGCATAAGAGCTGAAAAAAGTTTTTTTTTTCTTTTTCGCGCTCGGTTCGGTGAGGTGCTGAGGCACAGCACCCAGGAAATCCTACAAGAACCACTCTAACTCGTAACTTCCGTGTGCAGCTGGTTTTCTCTTCTTCAGCAACTGTATATGGGCAGCCCAAGAGTGTTCCCTGCATGGAAGACTTTCCACTACAGGCGGCGAACCCATATGGGAGAACAAAGGTGTGAGGCCAAGTCCTGCATTGCCCCGGATATGAGTTGCCCCAGATATGAATTGCCTGTTAAGATTGAAAACTGTTTTCTTTCGTTGCCCAAGATGCACGGTGCCTTGCTGCATTGCCCCGGTTATGAATTATCTGTTAAACAAGCCACCAGTACACCCAGGCCTGCAGGCCCCTCGCTGCATGCGCACCAAGGTTTTCCGAACCGCCAGCGGCACACTTCTTTTCCTTTTTGGCTGGCGCCGCCAGCCATCGTGGTCCGGTAACCTGAGCCTCCAAAATTTTCCTAGGCTACGAGTTTTTTTTTCAGCAAGACTGGGGCTACGTACTGGCGGTTTAAGATTGAAAACGATCTACCTTTGTTGCCTCAGATCCACATTGTATTTTAAGATGGGAAGCTGTTTTCTTTTAAGGTTGTGTAAGGGCATACTCAGACTGGGACTTCTTTAACCATATCTAACCGCCATTGCAACCAGAGTAAGGCAGGGAAGTCCTGGTGTGAGTGCTTGGAAGTTCTCTCTCTCTCTCTCTCTCACTCTCTCTCTCTCTCTCTCTTTCTCTCCCTGCAGACTTTGACTCGTACCCTTTTGATTTTCAGAAGTTGACAGCCTTTATGTTGCTCTTCCTAGTCTGTTGGGATGACCTTTGAGGCAGCTCCTTGCAATTGAAAATTCTAACTTTCTCTCTCTCTCTCTCTCTCTCTCTCTCTCTCTCTCTCTCTCTCTCTCTCTCTCTCTCTCTCTCTCTCTGTGTGCAGACTTTGACTCGTACCCTTCTGATTTTCAGAAGTTGACAGCCCTAATGTTGCTCTTCCTAGTCTGTTGGGATGACCTTCGAGGCAGCTCCTTGCAATTGAAAATACTAACTAACATCTTTACTCGAACAGAACGCCCCGTACTTATGCTCGTATCTGGACTGAAAGCTGTGTCAAATACAGCTATAAGGACCGAGTGTTCCATTCGGGTGAAGACGGTAGTGCACAAACCACTCTATCCATTGGCAGGCAGAGTGTGAAAGGGCTTGGCACTTGCTCTCGAGTTATTCTGAATCCCTTTCTGGGACACCTTTCAAGAAAAGGGAGTCGGGAAGATAAGCACTATTAACTCATTAAGAAGTTTATGGTCTAAGCCAAAGGCCATGGCTCCATGAGCCCTGGCTCGGTGCACGCACACATCAGTTAAGTGGGACGCGCCTCTCATGGCTCAGGGCTCCAGGAAAAAGTGGTCGTTCAGGAGACCGGGTGCCCCTCAGCCGTATTCGGGGCTCATGGGCGTAGAGCATTTCTTTTGCGTTTCGTGCGGAGTGTGGGGCACAGGAGACCAAGCCCGTCCTCTGAAATTAATTTTTTTGGTCGTTTTGTGGGCGGGTTCTCGAAATCCCAGAAGGAAAAGAAAAATGCGAACGAATGTAGTGTGTGGGGCATGATGGCATCCTTGCCCAGGGCTCATTTTGGTGGCTCAGGTACTCGTGCCTTTTGGTGTTGCCATCGTTTTTTTTCTCTTTTTGGCCTTCCCCATTTTCTCTTTGCTGCAACCCTTTTCGTTTACGCTAACAAATTTGTGTTGCTCTTGCAGGTATTTGAACAGGTATTTGAACTGTAACTTCTTCTGAGGATAATGCAGTTCTTGAAGTTTCTTTTATTTATGTTAACAAAAGTTGCTCTGCCTGGTGTAACCTTAGAGAGAGTTGGCTGACACAGGGGAATAATGTATGTATGGTAAACAGTTCGACTTTGTCCGTACTGTTTTCTTTGTGTGAACGAAGTCGTGCTAGTGGTGTAGTGCTAAGTGAAAGTTGGTTGAGAGAGTCAAATCGTTTGTGGCAATGTTGTGTGGGTGCAGCACCATCTTCCTTCCTGTTTGATTTTGCCCACACTCTTTACCTTTATCAGGCTTTATGTGAATTTATAGTCCCAAGTGGAAAAGCGATTGAGAAGGTCGAATCGTTTGTGGTGATGTCGTCGTGGGTGCAGCTCTTCATTGAGGAGATCTTGAATGATCTGTACGAGTCGGATAAAACGTGGAGGATTATCATGCTGCGATACTTCAACCCTGTGAGTTGCAAGTTCACACTTGGCCTTCTGGGCTGCAGTTCCCATTTTGTCATTTTATCCCTTGTTTCCCTGGTGTAGCCGCGCTGGGCGCCTGTGCGGCAAGGTTCAGGTTGCAGGTTTGAGACTTGCCGCAGCCAGATGGCTGTTTGTGGCGAATGCTGCAACCAGTCTTAATAAGTTAATAGCTCGACATTTGCCGGCTCTTGTTTTTGGACCTATCGGCCAAACTCAGACCTATTCGCATCCTTGGGCAGGGGGGTGCTCCTTGGGTTGACGAGGAGGAGGTTCCGTATGGGTGTGTATGTTGTTGTGTATGCAGGGCTCTTCTATGTTCTGGTTGTTCTCATGATTCTGTATAATCTTCTGAGTAATTGGAATACAAGTATTCCATTGGCTGGTTGTTGTGTGATCAGATGACGGGGTGTATGGGGGGTTGTTCTGTCGGGGTCGCTTGGTTCTCATCGTGGCACACAATTGTGCAAAATAGGAATGTTGTGTAAGTGGGTTCTAACTTCTAAGTTCTGAGTTCTAAGTTCTAAATAAGTGGTTTGGAGTCTTTGGAATCTGGACACAATTATGGTCAATAGGAAGGGATTGAAGTTGGAACTCCTGACTAATGGTTGAAATCATCTGTCACTGGGGAAGTAGCAAAATAGGTAGGGATTCTAGGGAAATTAAAAATTTCAAGAGGGGTGAGAAGTGACTCAGACTACTACTATCGTTTTGTGTTGGTGGAATACCAGGTAGCTTGTAATTTTCTGGTTTTGCTTTTCACTTTTTCTAGCATGTATCTGTTCGACACGTGATTGAAAACGTTTACCACTGGGCAAAAAGCACAGTAAATGTGGGGAAATGTTAACTTGGGAACCTCTGTTTTGGTGGAATATAAACTAACTAGTAATTCAAATTTTCTGGTTTTGCTTTTCAGTTTTTCCTAATTTTTCCAGATCTGTTTGGTTCACCTGTTATGTGCTCATTAATCATATTCAACCCAAGTTTTGTCAATTGATCACCTTCCGTAGCGTCTCTTACAAAATATGAAGAAATATATATAGGAGGGCAAACGAAAGACAAACAAAAAGAGAAGGAAAAAAGTTCAAAAACAAAGGCAAACAAAAAAAGATTTCCCCCCCCCCAAAAAAAAACATGATCTCTGACAGCAGATGCATGCGCTCTCTCTTGATGGCATATCTGCAGGTTGGAGCGCACCCCAGCGGACGAATTGGAGAGGATCCAGCTGGTATACCCAACAACTTGATGCCTTTTGTTGAGCAGGTAAGATGGGTAACTTACCAACGTGCGTGTTTACATTTGTCTTCAGTCCAGTTACATAAACCCAAACCTTCTCAGTTCTTGTAAGCTCATTTTCACAGTCAGGTGGAATCTTTGTCTGGCCGCTGATTTGCCGGTTGCAGCATTTTCACAAATAGAGTCACGGCGGTTACACTGACGAGCCTGGACAATCAGGCCAACAATGGCTTGCACATGACCGGGGTTCAAATTCCTTTTCCGGTGGTAGTTGGTTGGATCGGATGATTGAAATTGTGCGTTTTTTTTTAAATGCAACTCGCCTAAATTCTTGGGGCTGTAGACTGAATGAAGTAAGGAGGGAACAGCATAACAGCATCGTCATATAGTCGAAGATTAGTCGCTTGAAACAGCAACAAATTTACCTTTTTGCCGGCGAACAACTGCACTCTCGGAATGTCCACCTTCCACAATTACTGATGGGGTAGGACTATGCCCTCGCCGTATCCCGTTCATTACATGTAAAATGGCAAACAACGGCACTCTTGCAACGTTCAGCTTCCACGATTACTGATGGGGTGCTTGAACTGCTGTTCCACCAGCCAAACATGCCAGAATAACCATGTGCAACATAACGGTGTCACGTCGGTGTGGCTCACAGAAGACCTGTTAGGTTTCACGGAACTTTCACCGGTGCCTGGATCCCTTTAGATGATACTTTTGTCTTTTATGATTTTGTTGCACGTCTATTATTATTCTTATGCGCGTGGGTGTCCGTTTGTCATGTTGGTTGCAGGTTGCAGTTGGGAGGAGAAAAGAGCTGTCGGTCTTTGGAAAGGATTATCCGACGAGAGACGGAACAGGGGTGAGTCAGGCAAACATAGTTTCGTCCGTGGATTGCCCCTTGTCACACTAAGGGTCTCGCTACACGACTGTCGGAAGGCTAAACAATGCAACGGCTGTCAGAAGAAATTTGACAGCCGCCCCTTCGACAGTTCCCCCCCCCTCGCCACACAGCGCTGTTGGAGTGACAAACTCACGAACGCAAAGATCAGAAGAGGCAAACGCGCCTGAGGATAGGGCAAGAATTCGTCCGTCCCAAACCTCAGGCCCGCTGACAAAAGTCCGAGGTGAACTCGATACCGCAGCGCATACGACTGTTTACCAACCTCAGGCCCACTCACCAAATTCCGAGGAGAACTCGATGATAGCGCAATGACTGTGGGAAAGGTCGATGTTGCAGGCTAGGGATGCAACCTCTTTCGAAAGGTGGTGTCAACAGCTTTCTCTGACAACTTGCGGAAATTTTTCCCGTCTCCAATTTTTAAGCCTTTCTAAAGGCTGTGTGGCGAAGAGGCGAAGTTGAAGGCTGGGAACGCAGCCTGCCTCTTTCGAAAGGAGTTGTCGAAAAGCGTACGCTGACAGCTTGCTGAATTTTTTCCCGTCTCCATTTTTTTTCTTTCTAAAGGCTGTGTGGCGTAGAGAAACTGTCGAAAATCCCTTTTTCGACAGTGGTGTGGCGAGCTCCTAAGGGCAAAAATGGTACCTGTATTGTTGGGACAATGTACACCATTAGCCCCTTAAAATTCCTATTAGAGTCCCTGTATGCTTGATATGGGACTAAATTTGCTTATTGCGTAACGCGCTTTCTTACCTACAAACCCCTCTGCTGCTGAAAGTGAAAAAAAAAAATTGGTGGCCTTTTTTCTTGTTCCTTGTACGAAGCTCATAAAGAAAGAAGCTGATTGATGATGGGACCTATGAAAGCCCTGTTATCCTTTTCCTCCTGTTTGGTGGCTATTTTTGTCCCTTTTCCAATTTTTTTACTTTTTCTTCTCATTCCTTGTATGAAGCTCACAAGGAAAGAAGCTGATTGATGGGACCTATGAAAGTCCTCATCCTTTTCCTCCTATTTGGTGGCTATTTTTGTTCCTTTTCCATTTTTTTATTATTGGTAATGACCTTATTATGATGAATCAGCAGAACCAATCATTGTGTCAAACTTGAGTTAACGCTTGAAGCCTTGGGCACCATGGCTAAGACGGACCTGTTCATCAGACCTATCTCGATTCCAGGATCCAGAGATCAGGTCTAGGTTGTCCTTATGATGGTAGCAATTGTGGATGGTACTTCACCTAAAAAAGTCACCTTCACTGTGATTCTATTATTTTGTTGATCATTTGACCGAGTAGGAAAGGCCAAGATTTCGCCCACGTTATGCCATCATCCATCATGATGGGACACAAAAGAAATCCCTCATCAGGGAACAGTTGAGAGAAAATTTCTCCCACTGTTTGTGTGGTGCGCGACCAGGAATGCCCATTTGACCACCTCAAGTGTCACCAAACAGCCATTGCTGACATCCAGTACCATGGGTCGGACCTGGTGACAGAGATTTCGCCCCCAGCGGTCAAATAAGCTGAAGTAACACAACAGTGCGGCACATCGAGTTACGCAGAAAGAATTCCTTGCGGCAGAGCGGCACAATGTGGCCCGCATGATGTGATACATGTTCCTGTCCCCAAAACGAAGCACTGTCGCCCACACTATGCCAGTCTTTTGCAGGCTCAGTGCTTAGTTCTGGGGCGCTTTCCATATGAGGGTTCAAATCCCTTTTTCTGCTCATCAGCTTCCTTCGCTGCCTGGCCAAAAAAAGAATGTAGCCGACGCCACCCCATCCTGGGCAGCTTGTTTTGGTTTGGGTAAATTTCATGGTCGTATTGAATCCATCGAATATCGGTGGCATTATGGTGCACATAATTCGTTTTTGGGTAATGCCATGTGTGCTGAAGCACGGGGAGAGAGAGAGAGAGAGGTTCGGGTTCTTATCTCATGCAAAAGATGCTTGCATAGCAGCTCTATTAGGAACTCCCATAATTTATTGTTTTGTTTTTGGACCCCCAATCGGTAGGTGCCAACCAGCCGACTGATCGCCTGGTCGGCAGCTGACCAAAGGCGCCGACCGTCGGGATATGCAACCCTGATCTACACCACATTTTTCACGATATGTTCTTTTGAAGAACTGTTTTTTCTGAAAAGCAGAATTCGAAACTTCAAAATCACAACTTCAATAGCATTTGAATAACTTCTTTAAATTTTAAAGTAATAACACGATGCCAGGAGACAGCTAGATTTCCAGGGTCTGGATGGCCCAGCTTAAACATAGGTCGACATTGGTGTGTGGAAGATGGACTGCTGTTGGTCAACGGTTCTTACGACAGGCATGTACAGACCTGTTCAGAAAGTTTTCCAGACTGACTCCGGCATGTTTGCTACAGTCTTTTCCATCCCACATGGCAGACCTGTTCAGAAAGTTTTCCAGACTGACTCCGGCATGTTTGCTGCGGTCTTTTCCATCCCACATGGCAGTCATGTATGCACTTTTTGCATAATCCGTCTTTCGTTCTTTCCTTCTCCCCTTCATTCAATGGTTCTTGCTGCATGCAGCTTTGTCGAGAGAGTTAGCAAACGTGTTGTCTCAAATTGGCCTGAGCTGAAGCTATTCGTATTGTGGCGATGCATGGGTGAGATAACAGATCCGAGATTACATTCATGTGCTGGACTTGGCAGCAGGGCATGTTGCAGCGTTGCGGAAGCTTGCAGTGACTCCTGATATAGGTGAGAGCAGAAAGAGCAGAAAGAAATGGCCTTTTGCCGTTTTCCCTCTCACTTCTGAATGGGTATTTTTTCTGAAAACACAAGTCAAGACTCGATATTTGTTAGGGCTTTGAAGTTTGAACATACGTTATTGGAAAACACAGGTCAGGATGTGTCAGGGTTCTGAACACTGTGTAGAGAGAAAGTGATATCAGTTTCATTCTCCTTTATCTTCCCAATGTCAAGCCTGTGTTCCCTTTAGTAGGGCTTCACGATGTAGACACTACCGAGTGCACAGGCAAAGAATCTTAGGGAGAATGGGTGTTGGCATTGCTATTGGAATTTGGAAAGAAAATGTGTCAGGCCTGCTGCATGACCAATCAAATGAGTTCAGTTCACGTCACGGACGGTCTTTGTGGAGGGTGGGGGTGAGCTTGGGTGCAGTGTTCGTCCTAGCAAGAGAGGTAGTGGTTGAAGTTTGAGGGGCGTTTGGCACTTTGCCTAGGCAAGGATGGAAAGTAGCAGCGGCCGTCGCTCTGTGTTGTTTCCTCTGTATGGTGTAGAATTGATTTGGAAAGCGAACACGAAGTATGCTCAAGTGCTGTCATCTTTTCAGTTGTTGCCGTGGTTAATTGGGGGTTCCGGGCCTTGGGAGAGGTTGATGGCAGAAACCTCACCCCATTGTCAAGCCATAGATGCAGACGCTATCCTTCATCATGGTTCTTCATAAGTGAACAGTTTCACCTGCGACTCTTGACTGCAAGCGGCTTGACGAGTTTGCCTGACCACGAGCAGGTTGGAAGCGAGGTTACAAGGGGCACCTGGATGAACGCGCGTGCCAGGCCCGGCACCTGTGGAGGTCGGCTGTCCAGCCCCCCGGGGTGCTTCGAACATTTAGAAACTTATTTTTTTATTCAAATTTATTGCTATTTTTGTCCGTGGGGCATGAACCAAAAGCAGCCTGAATCCAGGCTCTTTTTTGTTTTTCGGTGTTGTGTGGGCGGGTGGGGGAGGGGGTGAAGGGGGGGTTATCAATCAGGCTGAAGGAGATTAAAGGGGGGGTTAAACTTCAAAGGTGGTGTTAAAAAATTTAAAAACTCTGAGGTGAACCTCAGTCCAAGAGAATGTTTCCATTGCAACTTTTGTTTTCATCTGTTCGCTTGTTGCATCATGGTTGATTGGAGGATCTTGGTCTCGACTCTTGAGAGGTGTCGATGGCAGGGTTGCGTATCCGCCGAAYGTCGACGCAGATGGCTGACCGGGGGGGGTTAAACTTCAAAGGTGGTGGTAAAAAATTTAAAAACTCTGAGGTGAACCTCAGTCCAAGAGAATGTTTCCATTGCAACTTTTGTTTTCATCTGTTCGCTTGTTGCATCATGGTTGATTGGAGGATCTTGGTCTCGACTCTTGAGAGGTGTCGATGGCAGGGTTGCGTATCCGCCGAATGTCGACGCAGATGGCTGACCGTTTTGCGATCTACCAGTACGGCTGACCGGCTGGCGGTCTACCAACCAGTCTATATAGGGCCATCCACTGATTTTTTTCAAGTCGGAGTTCAGGGTTGTATTGCACCTGCTGAGTAGAGCGCAAACCTGCTGAGAAACATTTGGGGATGTGGGGGGTGTGAGGGTGTTGGGGGTGGTATGGGGGTGTTGGTGGGGTTACTGGGGAGTATGGATCCAGCGTTTTTCTTGTCTTTTGCAGAGTGCAGGTGAACTGCTAACCTGTAGGTGCCAACGGGTGAAACAGTCGGCTGGTCGGCAGCCGACCAATCCAGGGGTGCCAACCTTCAGCATGACTGCTCTGTTCGATGGCAGAAATTTTATGCTGATTTATCCCAGCCGCTTATGGCTTTACCTGATGATTTTGCTCAACCTAGCAATTGGCTGAACGTCGTCCGGACATGTTTGCAATCGATGTTTTGGGTGCACAGGTTGTGAACCGTACAATCTGGGGACAGGAAGGGGCACATCTGTGCTGGAGATGGTCGCGGCATTCGAGAAAGCGTCAGGGAAGGTTCGTTATCCTGCTCATATGCATGTATAACATTGTATATCAAATCCTCTCCTCGACAAAGTTTGCATGTGGGTAGCTTGGCTTGTGCCTTTCAAAGCACAGCACATCTTTGCTGCACACTTAACTGAAGTACGTTTTTCTGGGGCATCACCATATGCCTGCTTCTGCTCGTCTCTTTTGCCCTCCTTGTGAGCTAGGAAAGCTCTTGTGGTTGGTGTGTTAGTCAATTGTCCAGGTGTGCTTCCCCGTGTGGTTTGGATTATCTTGCTCTGATGTTTTTACAAGTTTTTTTGAAAGAATGGCGACTGCTTTGAGATATTTTTGTTGAACTGACCTGCCCCACGTTATCAGAATTATTCAATTATGCGATTTCATTCATTCCAGTTCCATCTGGATTCGAGCTGAGGTCTGTACGTCAACAGTTCATGGATGTGCCGACTGGGGTGGTCTGTATGCAATCAGACTCGTTCTCAAACACACTTTTCA